GTGGGGGCAGACGGTAGACCAAATAAGTAAGTAGGACATAGTGTCTTAGACAGTGGTCAGTGTTACAGGAGAAAGACAAGGTAAGGGGGACTGGAAGAGCAAGGTGAGGGGTTAAAGTTTTAAATCAGGCGGTCAGGGTAGGCCTGGCTGAGAAGATAACATGTGAACAGTCTTGACAGAGGGGAGGGGATGAACCATGCCAATGCCTGAGGTAAGAACATTCCAGGCAGAGGGGAAACAGTAAGTGCAAAGGTCCTGTGGTACAGATGTGCCTGGGAGCCAGAATAGCCGAAGCAAAGCCACCAAGGGAAAGAGTGGGAGGCAACCAGGTCGGAGAGAGGAGAGAGGGAGAGGCAGGGCAGGAGGCGGGGCCTTGTAGGCCGATGCAGAGTTTTGGCGGTTACTCTGAGGGACGTAGGGTCCATTGGAGGGTTTGGGCAGAGGGTGGTCTAATCTGACTGTTGAAAGGCTCTCTCTGGCTGCGGCTTTGTGACTAGACCATAGGGGTAAGGGTGGAAGAAGGCAGATCGGTGAGGAGGCTGTTGCCATAAGGACCAGAGGCTCTGATTTGCACCAGGTGGCGCAGTGGTGAAAAGTGATTGGATTCTGGATGTATTTTGAGGGTAGAGCCAAAGACAGGACTTGAGACAGATTAGATGAAAGGAGTGATAGAGAAGAGCAAGGATGGGCTTGGGGCTGAGCCACTGAACCGAGCCTGGTCTCTGCTCCCCCAGCGCTGGGGACACCACCTCCCAGGCTGTGCGGGGGGGAAGGGGGGGGACGTCCCACTGGGGTAAAGCAGGCTTGAGGGGCGGGGATCAGGCTTCAGTTTGGACCGGTTTGGACTCCACGCAGTGAGCTCAGGGAGAAGAGTGGCCTGGAGGCCACGCTGGAGAGTTACCAGATTTCAGTGGCACGCAAGGTGGCCAGAGTGAAGGACAGGAGAGCGGCGTGTGGGGACAGCTCCCGGGTCCCGCAGCGCTAAGAGCTTAGCAGGGACAAGGAGCAGCAAAGGAAAGAGAGGGCGCAGCCAACCGGGCAGGAGGCCCGAGAGGCCGCAGTGACCTGGGCATAGCGGTGTGCGGGGTCATCGGCCACCTTGGCAAGGACAGTGGGTATATGGGCGTCCAAGTCCGAGGGGAAAGTTTTAAGGATGTGGACACTTGAGAACAGGTTAACTTCTTCAGGGAGTTTTGCAGGAGGGGAAGTAGAGTCGAGAGGAGTGTGTGTGTGTGTGTGTGTGTGTGTGCGCGCGCGTGTGTGTGTGTGCGTGCGTGTGTCTCAGATGGCAGCCCAACACACTCATGCGCTTGTGGAATGCCGGGGGCTTGTCTCTGGCCACCTGGGGGGACAGACAGGTGCAGAGACGGTGGGTGATGCGCAGGTCCAGTGCTCCCACCTGGTGTGCAGGTGGCTGATTGAATAAGGCAGAGTCCCCCGCCCACGGGAAAGCCGTGAGCACGACACCCCCAGGCCTGCCATCCAGTTGTGCTAAGTTTCTGCATTTAATCGATCCGCAGTCAGAAATCGTGCCTTGGGGCGCCTGCGTGGCTGGGTCAGTTAAGCGTCTGCCTTCAGCTCAGGTCATGATCCCGGGGTCCTTGGATGGAGCCCCACATCGGGCTCCCTGCTCAGTGGGGAGCCTGCTTCTCCCTCTGCCTGCTGCTCCCCCTGCTTGTGGCCACTCTCCCTCTCTCTCACAAACAAATAAATAAAATCTTAAAAAAAAAAAAAAAGAAAAAGAAGGTGGCAATCATGCCTTGACCTTAAGTCATAGCCAGGCTCCTTAAGTCTTGACCTTGACGTTGCTTTGATTTCTTTCTCCCCTCTGTGAAATGCACCCCCTAGGAAGCCTTCCCAGATTCTCCCCAAAGGACGAGGTCCCATGAACTTTCACGGGGGGAGCTGTCTGGCCCGTCTCACATGGGCCACCTTGCAGAGGCGAGGGGTCCTCTCCCTCTCCCACTAGCGTTCATCTGTCAGTCACTCCCGCCCCGACACCTGCCCCTACCCGGCCTCTCCCTCTCACAGGCTTTACCCTCACTGTTAGATACTGCGTTCTGCATGCTCCCTCCTCCCGAGCACGCCGCCCCGCACCAGGCTCTGCCCACCGCACTGCGCCATCTGGCATCTGTCCAGAGTGGGCTTGTCCCCAGGTCCCTCCACATCCCTGCCGCCCCACCCCCCCCGGTTCCACCAGCACCTTGACCAGAGGCTTCCCCCCATCTCCTTGTTCAGCCTTTCTTGAGACCCCAGTGACCCCTCCTTACTCACCGACTGCCCCTATTCAACTTGGCACTTTGATACACTTTCTCCTGATTTCCTCCTGATTTCCCCCTGCTTCCTGCCACCCCCTCCCTGTGTCTTTTCTGGGACACCCCTGAAGGTTCTGGCCATTCTTACTGCAGGCTGTCTCTGGGCTTCCATGTTCGCTGCCTTGGGGGGTGGAGTCGAGGGAGGGGGTGCCCTGAGCTCTCCCCAGCCTGCATCTCTGGCCTCGGGCCATGGGTCCCGCTCCCCCATCCCCACGACCCCTTAGCCACTCCACTAGCACCTCCTACTCACCAAAGCCAAACCATTGCTGCTCACCCCCTTCCCCATTTGGGGAACCAGCTCCAGGCACAGGCCTCACCTCCTGGGTTCTGTATGACAAAGGGGTCACATCTCTCTCTCCAGTACCTTCTACTGCCTTGCCCCAGGGCCAGAATTCAAGCCCACTTCTGCCAGAGTCCAGCTCAGGACCTCCCTTGACACCAACTGACCACCTGAAGAGATGCCCCCCGCCCCGACTTCCTCGGGTTGGCTTCGTCTGGCTGTCCTTCCCCCGGCAGAGGAAAGCATGGGGGTGGCAGCCAGGGGACCCTGACGGAGCAGATCTAAGTGGCTCAGGGACAGGGTCTCCGAGCAGGGTCTATAAGTGAGGCCCCTCCTTTGGGGTGGATGCCCGCACGGGCGGTTGCCTGGCCTTCTTGTCCCCCCAGCGTGGAGCGACAGCTCACTACTAGGCTCCTGGCCCTGCCTCTGCAGCCTCCGCTGTCCCACCACACCCTGGGCCTGCCTTCAGCCTCATCCCATCACCTCTGCTGCCCCACCTCGCCCAGCCCCTTCCCTGTGTCTCACGGGCAGCCAAGCTCCGTGTCTGCTGGGAGTGCAGGCCGGCCAGGCCTCAGTTCTGCCCAGAGCCACCTCTTCGGGGGCGGCCACCCCCGACACTCAGCGTTGCTCCCCCCAGAGAGCCCTTCGACAGCGAACCCCGTGTCTGGGGGCAGGGGAAGCAGCGTTTGGGGCAGGCCCTCCAGGCCAGCTCAGCGAAGCGGCCCGGCACCCGCCGGCAGGGGCAGCCCGGAACAGTGTGCAGGCAGGGGCACGAATGCACAGGACACCCGGGGCTGGGCACCCCTCTGAGCCCAGGCGCCTGACCAAGACCGCGCCCAATAAAATAGCAGTGCAAGCAATCATCTCGCTGGCACCTCATCTACCCCTCACGCGGCGCTCGGTGCCCTCGGCACCGCGCTGCGTGCACATCTCCGGAGATGAGGGCTCCCTCTGACTAGACCTCGGGGCCCCCCCCACCATAGGCTCCTGAACCTCCATCCCGTCCCTTCTATCCCCACAGCCTACAGCCTGAAGGCCGGGCCCCCACCCTGCCACCAGCCCATCCCCGTCCTCCTCCACGACCTGACCCTGCCCTCACGTCCAGCCTCTTCCCCAAACCCCACCTCGGGTCCCTCACTTCCACCAACACCTGCCAGGTACCAGTGTCTGAGGGAAGAAGTCCGTTCAGGCCCGGAACCAGTGCAGACCCAGCTGCGGGGGGAGGGCTCGGACGTGGCCTTGGGTTTGGTCCCGGACCAAGAGGTCTCCGTTCTTCATCTGTAAAACGGGGATCACCTTTTCGGACCGATTGGATTGTCGCGAGATGTGTAAAGAGCTTGGCGTGCAGCGGGCACCCAGGAGATGGAGCAGGTGGGGGTGAGGTCAGCGGCCCCCCACCCTGGCTCAGGACGCTGAGCGCTGCCAAGGCCGGGTTGGCAGGCAGGTCCGCAGGCCGCGCGGCGATGGGCAAATCCCTGTGACAGGGAGGGTACAGGGCCATCCTCCTGACTCGGCCCCTAGCCCGGAGCCTTTGGGCATTTCTGGTGCCACAGTGCCCCCTGGTGGCCATGCAGCCTACCGCGAAGGACCGCGCCTCCACCGCCTTCTCTGTGGCCCTGAGCAAGACTCAGTTGGCGCCATTTAGAAACGAGACCCGGGCTGCTCCCAGGCACCCACTGTCCTCCCTGCTCCTGGCTGCTGTTGGCACCCCACCCCCCAGGCCTGGACTGGGAGACTTTCCCAACATCTCCCACCCTCCAAAAGGACAGGAAGGTCTCCATACAGAATTATTTTGGATTGGCTTTTGCCGCAAAGACAACACCTGGCACTTCAGCGGGGGAGGTAGAGACTGTAGGTCAGGGGATTCCTGGTGGGGGAGCACCCCATCCCCCTCACTGGGCTGGAGCCTGTTGTGGGAGACTCCAAGCGAGTCTGGTGTCAGCTCCAGAGGCAGGACCCCTCCCTCCCCCACGTCCTGCTGGACCTAAAGCAGGCCCACCCGCCCCTGACTGTACCTCCTTTCTCCCCCACTCCGACCCCTGAGGCCTCCCTCTGGTCATTATCCCAGGGCACAGCCCTGGAAGAAACTTGGGGTTTGCTGGGTTCCACATCCCTGCCTTGCTTGACACAGGCAAAGTGAGGCCTCGAGAGGGCAAGGGGCCAGCCAGGCTCCCGGCTGGTCATGGCAGAACCAGGGTGGACCCGCTCCTCCTGAATCCCCCTGCCCTGGGCAACTGTGACTACCTCAGGGATTTCAGGAGCGTACTGAGTTCGTAGGGCCAGGAGTGCCCCTGCTGGCTGGCCTCACGGCCATCCCTTAGACTACGGGTTGGAGAGGCGGAGTGGGGAAGGCGCCACGGGCCACACCAGGCTCCCTCTGACGGCCACATCTTCCTTTGACGCAGGGCGCTGCGCAGAGCTGCAGGTCCACATCACCGAGGCCACGGCCACAGCAGCCGAGCAGAGGGAGTTGATCGCGCGCTTGGAGCAGGACCTTAGTACCATCCAGTCCATCCAGCGGCCGGACGCCGAGGTGAGCCTGCCCCCTCACCACCCGCCCCGAGCCTTGAGCCCTTACCCAATAAAACTTCACGGGTTAAGCGGCGCCAGCTCCTCAGGCGGCTGGTGTCCACCTGCCCCCACAGGGCCCACAGGGCTGTCACCCACAGCCCGAGTGTTGCCTGCACACTTCACCACAAAGGCCCAGTTCGGGACGCCAGGCCACAGGGCACAGGGCCAGGCTTGGAACTCCGCCCTGGGAGCTGTGGGCCGACGCCGGGCAGGATGACCCACCCATCCCACAGCTAGAGGACCTGAGGCCCAGGGGTCACGGAAGGCTGGAGCCCACGGAGCCCTTGGAGGTCACTCTGTCACCCGCCGCATTTTCTAGATGCAGAAATGGGGCTCGGAGAGAGCATGGCCCCATGATGGCACACCGCTGAGCTCCCGCCTCGGGGTCAACCCAAGGCCCAGCCTTCCCTTTGGGGGCCCACGGGAGGCATCCTCCAGGCCCCTTGTGGCCGCTGGGGTGCCCAGTGCCTCCACCAGACCACCCACCTGTCCCTTGCCCCCCACTTGCTTGGCATCCCGAAAGGCTGCGTTCGGTGGCACGTAGGGAGCAGCTACCCCTTCCTCCTACCTGCAGGGCGCAGCTGAGCACGGCCTGGAGAAGGTCCCAGAGCCCATCAAGGAGGCCACCGCCCTGTTCTATGGTAAGGAGGGGCTGGCCCCTCTCGGAGCCAGCGATGGGCAGGGCGGGGGCAGGGAAAGCAGAAAGGAGGCGCTACCGTCAGCCCTGATCCCTCAAGAGCACTCCCCGCCCTCCAAGAAGGTCAGGGCCCCCGCCCCAGCAACGCAGCACCAACCAAAGAGAGGGGGCTGGGTCTGCCCCTTGCCCTTCTATGCCTTAGCTTGACACCCCCGCCCAGGACCCTGGCCCCCTTTGCCCTGCCAATGGCCTGTGGGCAGCTGATGGCTGGTGGTGAGCTCCCCAGGGAGGCCTCAGCACAGAGATGCAGCCAGAGAGCTCCCAGCGCCACTGGGGAGGTGGCCTGCTCGGGTACCAGTATGGAGGAGGAACCTGGGCTGATGGGCCAGGACGTTGGAGGGAGGCTCTCACGGCTTCCCAGTGTCCTTGCACTTCCCCAGGAGCGAGCGGAGGGGAGGGGGTCTTCCGACAGATGCAGGGGTCTCAGACCCAAGGACTGAGGAGTGGGGGCCTGGGGCCCTCCCCTTCTAGGATCCCTATTCCCCTGGACATCCCTTCCCTCCCCCGACCTCTCAGCACCTGCGCTCAGAACCTGGGTGTTCTACCTCATGGTCCTTGGCCAGAGCTCCCTCTGGGCTGGGGCTGCCCGACCTGAGGGCCCACTGGTGGGTTCTGCCTCCCGCCACCCCAAGCCACTTTCCTCCACCTCCTAGGACCCTCGGCACTGGCCAGTAGCACCCTCCCCGAGGGCCAGGTGGACTCTCTGCTCTCCATCATTTCCAGCCAGAGGGAGCGTTTCCGTGCCCGGAACCAGGAGCTGGAGGCTGTGAGTCACATTCTTCCCTCCCTTATGCCCTTGGACCTGAGGACACAGTGGGGGACCCACAGGCTTCAGGGCAGAGAGTTGTGTCACAGACCATAAGCCACAGAGGGGTTAGATTTGTTCTGTGCAGTCAGGGAGGGCTTCCTGGAGGAGGTTCTGCCACGCTGGGCTTTGAAAGAAGACTTAGACACTCAAAGTAGAGGAGACTAGGTGAGCAGAGACAGGGGGCCAACAAGCCCGAAAGGCTGTGCCAGGGCTGCAGGAATAAGACCCAGAGGGCCCTACTGCCGGGCTGGGGTGCTACCCAAGGATTTAAGCAAGGGAGTGACACCGTCAGAATGGAGGGTAAGAAGGCTCACTCGGCAGCCAATTCAGGACAGAACCTGGCCTGGGAAGACGACTGGAGAGTGGTCACCATCGTCCAAGAAGAAACATCTAAATCAGGTGGGGGACTGAAGACGAGGGCAGGGCGGAGAGAGGAAGGGCCTTGAGCCCTATAAGGAGGAGCAATCGGGAAACGTTGAGGAGCCCCGTGGGACTGGGAGAGCACCCGGCTGGGGGCCTTCCTGGAGGGGCGCCACAAGAAAGGGGTGGTCTGCGAAGGTGACCTGTAATGTGAGGTGCCTCCCTGGGGTGACTGCGGTGCCAGCAGGGTGGCTGGGGTCCCGGAACAGGGGACAGGATACAAGAGAGGGGGTCAGGGAGGAAGTGAAGGGAGCATGAGCAAGGGATGTCCAGGACACAAAGGCCAGGCCAGGGCGTGCCCACAGAGGGAGTGAGTGCTGGATCCGGATTGCAGAGGGCCTGGTGACAGACCAGAGGAGTACCTGGAGGGGGCGCTGTCCCGGCCTTGGGGACTCCGCAGACTCCCCATCCCCCAGAGCCAGGCCAGGTCATCCCTGAGCTCTCCCAGTGTGAGCAGGAGCCCGGAAGGTTTCCATCCTTCTCAAAGAGTCACTGCTTGAGCTGATGATGGAATTTCTAGACCCTTCCTCTCCAAACCCACAGCTGTGCCCGTGGGATTTCCAGGCTGGGGCCAGGGAGAGGCTGACATTCACTGGGTGCCCACAGTGGGCCAGGCCTGCTGCTGGTCCAGTGCCAGCTCCAGTGGGACCTCCTGTGACCTGGGCTCCGGGGCAAGAGGCTTCAAACGGGGGCATGGTCAGGCCTGCTCACGCTTACACTCACACTCCCCTCGGGGACTAGGGACAGCCATGCAACGGGATGCCAGGCAGCCCTTAAAAGGAGGCCTTCAAAATAGATTAAGTGGAAGGAAAAGTGTTTTACAGTATTCTACCTTTTGCTTTACAAATCTAGGTTTTTTTTAATCAGGTACTGACTTTTAAAAATTGTAGTAAAACACACATAACATAAAATTCACCATCTTAACCATCTTGAAGTGTACAGTTTGGGGACATTAAGTACGTTCACGTTGTTGTACAGACATCCGCACCATCCAAGTCCAGAGCTTTTTTCATCTTCCCAAACTGAGACTCTGTCCCCACTAAACACTAACTCCACACCGCCCCCCCAGCCCATCCCCAGCTCACCACGCTTCTACCCTCTGTCTCTGTCACTTGACTACACTAGGGACCTCGTGTAAGTGGAATCATACAGTATTTGCCTTTGTGTGGCTGGCGTATTTCGCTGAGCAGAATGTCCTCAAGTTTCACCCATGTTGTAGCAGGTGTCAGAATGTCCTTCCTTTTTAAGGCTGAGCAATATTCTGTTGTGCCGTATACCAAGTTGTGTTTATCCATTCATCCATCAAGGGACCCTTGGTTTGCTCCCATCTGTTGGCTGCTGTGAACCGTGCTGCCATGAACATGGGATGTGCAGATATTTCTTGGAGTCCCTGCTTTCAGTTCTTTCGGGTAGCTGCCCAGAAGTAGAATATCTGGATCATGGGATAATTCTATGCTTCATTGTTTGAGGAACCGCCCCTACTACTGTGTACTCTTTAGTCCTGTTTGAATTTTTTTGACAGTATGAAGAAAACACCTACTTAAGCATTTGGATAAGCTGAAAACTGAGGTCCTTTTTCATTTGCTCCTGGATTAGCAAACATTAAAACCGCAGAGCGTCTGATTCCATTTATATGAAATGTCCAGAAGAGGCAAATCAAAAGAGACAGAAAGATTAGTGGTTGCCAGGGGGTAGGAGAAGAGGGAAGGACTGATGGGTTTGGGGTTTCCTTTTGGGGTAACAAACATATTGTGGAATGAAATCGTGGGGATGGTTCACCATATTTACTGCGAATATACTAAAAAAAAGAATCATACACCTAAAGACAGTGATGTTTGTTATATGAATTACATCTCGATAGTTCTTTCAAAGGTTGATGATACCATAAACAAACAAAGAAGACGTGAAGGAGCCTGACCCCAAATCTGTCTTCTGCTTGGGGTGGGGTCACAGGAGGAGAAGGGGACTTGCCAGAATCTAGAAGGTCAGAGAGATGGCCACAGGCAAAGAAGGGGCTCTAGGTAGATGAGCAGGACCTGTGTCAGCCTGGAAGCCTCCCCACCCCACCCCTTCCCCCGCGGGCCCTGCCGGCCCGCCCACCTGCCCACCTGCCCCCAGGAGAACCGTCTGGCCCAGCACACCATCCAGGCCCTGCAGAGCGAGCTGGACAGCCTGCGTGCAGACAACATCAAGCTCTTCGAGAAGATCAAGTTCCTGCAGAGCTACCCGGGCCGTGTAAGTGCCCTCCCCTGTTTCGGCCCCAGGTGTACCAGGCAAGGAGAGAGGGCTACCAGGCCCCCCAAGGCAAGAGGGTTGGGGGCAGTGACCTGCTGGGCAGCACTGGGGGCCATCCAGCCCACCCTGCCTGCCAGCTATCCTCCCTGAGCTGGGGAGAGTCCCCCACAGTGTGGCCTTTGTGCAGTTCATTTGTCAGAACAGCCAGGAGGTGATGAGGTTCAGCAAGAGGCAGGGCTCACAGGCCCCAGGCCCATTGGCCCCGGTGTCCCCTCTATGAAATGGGAGTGATCCACTAGCAGATCCTAGGATCCTAGGGTTTAACTCCAGGGCTGTTGAGCATGCAGGATAGGCCCTGGGGAATCCATATGTTCTAAACTTAAATTCTTTAAAAAAAAAAAAAAACAAAACAGACTTGGGTCCAATATCCCCCAAACCAATCAAGAAAACAGAAGAAAAACCCACTCACTCCATTCTGGGCCTCGGAGGGCCCTCCCTGGCTTCTCTCAGCCCCCAGGCCTCACAGGGGAACCCCTCGTGGGAGGAAACCCTTCTGTGACTGTGGGGAGACAGGGTGGCCCGTAGAAGCTCAGGGAGCAGTGACACTCAGGGTGGGGACAAGGGGTGGAGGACAAGACCTTCCGCCCCATCCCCCACTCCACCTGTTGGAACTGCACTCAGGCCACCAGAGGGCGCCAGACTCTGCGTAAACTAGTACACGGTACCCAGTGCCGCGCTGGGGTGGGGGTGCCCGGCTCCCGGCTCTGGTGCCCCACAGCCACCCGGCACGCTCCCCGTGAACCGCTCCCAGACCCACTGGCCCGCACTGGCCCAGCCCTGTCTGATGTACACTCAGGCCCCAGACTGGGCTTCGGTTCCCTCTCCCTGCCCTGAGTCACCGTGGCCCGGAGCCTGGTGGGAAGTCTCCGAACTTGGGCAATGCTCCTGCACGTGTGGCCCTGGCCACATCCAAGCTGTCACCCGGCCCTCTCCCAGCTCTAGGGCGTGGGGCCCCTCCCCCACCTCCACTGTGCTGATGGGGAAACTGAGGCTGCCCTGTGATCCTGCCAGCCTCAGGATGCCTCATCCCTGCCTTATTCCTGTTGGGCCCTCAGTGACTGGGTCTCTCTCCTCCTTATGCAGAGCGGAGGCAGTGACGACACGGAGCTGCGGTACTCCTCCCAGTACGAGGAGCGCCTGGACCCCTTCTCCTCCTTCAGCAAGCGGGTGCGTGAGCCCACAGAGGCTGCTCACTGGCCGGGCTGTGGGGAAGCCTGCAGGACCCACCAGCTCGCCAGGCCTCAGCCTGCCCTATGCCTTCATGCCAGCAGCCCTGCCCAGCCTCACGCTGCTCCCCGCCACACTGCCCCCCACACACCCCCCAGACCAGCAGGGCAGTCTCCATGGAGGCCCAGGGTGCACCCCGGGCGGGCCAAGGGTGCCAGGAATACCTGGTGGCTACGTGAGGGTGTGTGATAGGGAGTGGGCTAACCCCATGCGCCTGCTCGGGGGTCGGGCAGACAAGCGAAGGGCCCCCGGTGTCATGTGGCCTCCGAGAGGGCAGAGGGAGGCAGCTATCCCGGGAGCCGCTCACAGACGTTGGGCGAGCCTAGGGTGTCACGCTGAGTGGAAGGGGACACCGGGGAGGCCCCCAGCAGCCCGCTGGCGTCCCTCTCTGCAGCAAGCTGGGGCCTATGGGGCCCTTGGGGTCCTCCCCTCACCCTCCCTCCCTCTTCAGGAGCGGCAGCGGAAGTACCTGAGCCTGAGCCCTTGGGACAAGGCCACGCTCAGCATGGTGAGTTCCCTCCTCTGTGCTCAGCTGGGACACGCCGGGACCTCTGACTCTGGGCCTCCAAAGACATCTGCCCTCGGTCCCATCTGGAGAAGTCCCAGGGACCCCACTCACCCCTCACAGACGCTGCCAGGAGTGGCCATGGGACCTAGAACAAGGGTCCCTTCCCCTCCAGGACAGCTCGTCCGGTAGTAACCATTCCTGGAGGGTTCTGGAATTGTGCTGCAGGGGGAGCCATTCCCTAGAATTCCTGTGGCCCAGGTTCCCAGCCCATACAGTGGGAGACCACAGCGGGCTGTCCCTCCTCTTGCGGCCCCGGGTCCTTCACTGCAGGAACCTGGGGCAGCCCTTCAGGGGTGGGTGAGGCCTGCCCCACCCCCAGCCCACACCTTGTTGCTCCCCAGGGGCGACTGGTTCTCTCCAATAAGATGGCACGCACCATTGGCTTCTTCTACACGCTATTCCTGCACTGCTTGGTCTTCCTGGTGAGTATCCAGGCAGGCGGCCAGGGATCCTTCACCACGCTTCCCGGACCTCCAAGGGCAGCAGGGTCAGTCTTGTGGCCTGGCACCCTGGACCAACCCCGGGCCACACTGTGCTCCTGGCCACCTCTCTCCCCTTCAAGGGGACGAGCCCACCCATCAGGCCCTCTGGCTGGGGCAGCAGCTCGGCCACTGTGTGGAAACGGCCTGGCTGACTCCATCCACAGCCCCGTCCTGGAGGGGCGTCGGGGGAGGGCATGGCCACTGTGGGAGCCCGAGGCCGGCAGGGAAGCGGGTCTGACTGACTCTACTAAGGGACAGCCAGGTGGGCTGCACAGGCAGGGATATCTTTTTTTTTTTTTTTTTTAAGATTTTATTTATTTATTTGAGAGAGAGAATGAGATAGAGAGAGAGCATGAGGGGGGGAGGGTCAGAAGGAGAAGCAGACTCCCTGCTGAGCAGGGAGCCCGACGCGGGACTCGATCCCGGGACTCCAGGATCATGACCTGAGCCGAAGGCAGTCGCTTAACCAACTGAGCCACCCAGGCGCCCCACAGGCAGGGATATCTTGAGCTGAATCTCCTCAAGTACAGAGTGACCGTCCTAGGGAAAGTCTGCCGTCCACTGAGTCAGGGAATCGGAGAGGGTAGGGCATGCCCGTGAAGGCTGCAGCCTCGGGGACTCCCGTCCCCAGCGAGGCCACAGGCAAGATGGCCCCTCCGTGGTTAGCCTGGGCTCCAACTCTGACCCCAGGGCCCAACAGATCCCGGCCTGCTAGTGTCACACACAGCAGTGTCAGGGACAGTACCCTCACGGCGAGGCCTGTCTGACCGTGTGTGAAACAGGCGGGGGCACAGGGACATCTCTGAGGCCCTCCTGCCCTGGGGCCCGGCCCAGGAGAAGCGTCATGTGCGGCCGGGAGGCCAGGCCCGGGGGCTAGAGGTGGGCTGCAGGAGGGGCAGTGCGTGGGGACAGACAGCTCACTGTGTCTCTGCCTGGCCAGGTGCTCTACAAGCTGGCGTGGAGCGAGAGCATGGAGAGGGACTGTGCCACCTTTTGCGCTAAGAAGTGAGGACAGCACCCGAGTCCCACCATACCCCTGCGCTGAGCCCCGCCGCACCACCGAGCTCCTCCTGTGCCCCCCACCCCCAGCCCTCCACCACTGCCGCCCACTCTGGCCCGCCCCCAGCTCCCCAGCACCCACCCTGCCACGGGGTGCACGCCCCCTGGGGATCCCCGCGCCCCCTCACACACGTGCGCGTGCGTGCGCACACACACACACACACACACCCTTCCCTCCTTTTTACCCTTGGTCTCAGCAAAGGTTTCTATCCCCAACAGGTTCGCCGATCACCTGCACAAGTTCCATGAGAATGACAACGGGGCGGCAGCCGGTGACTTGTGGCAGTGATGTCCTCGGGCCTCCCCGACACGACAGTGATGGCTGCACCCCCCACCCCTTGCTTGTTCAGCTGCTTCTAATGACTTAGACTTCCCTGAAGAGTTCCCCACAGAAACTGCCCTTGCCCTCCACCCACCCGTGCCAGAGGCCCCAGGTCCCCCTGGGCCCCCTTAAGGGAACGTCAGCCACGTCAGGCCCCCTAGATCCAAAAAGGCCCCGAGGCCCAGCCAGGCTGAGTCAGAGGGGCCCCTTCAGCCCCATCTTAGGCTGGGGACCTGGCTTGGGCCCCGCCCACAGCCTGACCACTAGCCCTGGTGGCAGTCACTTCCCATCGCCAGCTGTGATGCTGATTTGTGTCCCTGCTGATTCTGGCCATGGTTCATCCAGTTGGGATCCCCTGGGCCTCTCTGTGCCAGGTCTGAGATCCCCTAGGGCTCCCCTACGATCTACCACCACCACCTCCCCCCAAGAGATAGAGGGCCCTTCCTCACAGGCCAGCAGGCTTTGAGTCCTGCCTTTGTCACCACCCCCACCCCACCCTGAGAAGAGGGGAAGCCCCAGAGGGCGTGGGATAATTTCTGTTACCTCCTCCCTGCCCCCAGACCCGTTGTGAGTTTTGCTTTCTTCTTTAGCAAGATATTTTGGCTTCTAGGCAAGGAGGGATCTCCAGTGAGCCCCTGTGCCCCAGGCTTTTCAGACCCAAGGACTGGCCTGAGGGGCCCAGGTGCCTCTCAGCCAGGGCAGAACGGGCCCGTGGACCACCCTAGCATGGCCACCTTGAGGCCACTGGCTGATCTTCCTAAGTTAGATTTGCACTTGCGCGTTCAGCTTTGCACATTTCGAATAAACACATGGTTGCAGCTACGCTGGTGCCCATGCTCTGCGACTCCGGGGGGCCAGGTAGCCCGTGGGTGCCTGCAGCGACACGCCTGGGAGCTGGGACTGGACCTTTCAGCTGCTCTGCTGATATGACGCATGACCCCCAGCACACGGGAGCTCTCTTCCTTTTCCCATCCCCCAGGAATTCCGGGAGTGGGTCCAGACCTTTGCTGGAACCCAGACCCACAATGTCTGAGTTCTCTTGAGCAGATAAGCAACCCGATCAAAAAGAGAAATCTATTCCTTTAAAAAAAAAAACAAAAAAAACCTATCAGGCTGCATTTGGATGTGTGATGCCTGTCGGAGTGTGATGTCAGCTCCTGGGGAATCCCTCCTTCCCTTTCTGGGTGCCCTGGAGCCATGCACTCTGTGCCCCTTTCCCTTGGGTTCCTGCTTGCCAGGCACTGCAGAGCCCATGCCCACCAAGCCCCCTGAGTTTCGGGTTTGCACCGAGCCACCGGTCAGCCCTAGCCCAGCTCCACTCATGTGGGTCTCTTCCCACCCAGACCGAGGGGCTCCCTCTTGGTTTGTGGTGGCTGGCGTTACCCCACTGGCCATGTGGCCCTTGAAGCTGGCTCCACACCCAACTCCCACCCCACAGTGCACCGGGCCAGTGTTCCCTGTACTATCCCTGTCTCAGTTCTAGTCCTGAACACTCTAGAGCTTATACATCCAGGGGCACCTCTTTGGAGTCCCATCCTCAGCACCCCTCACCATCTGCCCCATCAGGGACCCCAGATGAACCCATTTTCCCTGACTCTCATTCCTGTTACCATGACAGAGCTGGTCTTGGCCAATCACTGGCACCCTCCACCACTTCCACATCTCCCACCAGTTCCTCCTTGTGGGTCGGAGTCACAAACAGCTGGCTCCTCCTCACTTCCTCCTCCCTGGGGATCAGAGCTATTGTCCTGCCCAGGACCCTCCCTGGCCAATGACAGCCCACCGGCACAGCTCAACCCACTACCCAGAACCAGGTTAGTGGGTGGGGGGGGGGGCAGGCTCTCCCATCTCCCAGAAGGGTGGGGTCCACAGCCAGGCCACCCACACACACTCCCAGCTCTCCCGGCTTCATTCATAGACCTCCTGGTTCCCAGCCAGCAGTAGAGGCCTCTGTGTGGCTCCAATCGATAGCCGGTCCACGTCTAAGCTTTCATTAAGCGTCTGCTGGCCGGGTCCCGCTGAGAGGGCAGTTCGTGTGTGTGTGGAAGGGAAGAGACTAGGTACCAGGACCTCCGACGAGACCCGCCTTGCTTCAGCACCCTGGAAGAGGGCAGCCCAGGGCTGGGGGGCAGGAAGCGAGGGCTCCAGGCCAGTCTCCACCTTCACCAACCCACTGCTCCTCTCTAGGCCCACCCTTTGCATCTCCGAGATTGGGATAAAAACCCCTTTGCCTGTCCTGCTTCCTGGGAAATCAGAGGTGACAGGGCTTTGTGAAAGGTTAAAGGGCTCTCCACAAAGGTCAGGGATCACTCTGGGAGGAAGAGGGCAACAGATGGAGGCACTCTCAGCTAGCAGCTGCAGAAGGCTAAGTAAGGGCGGGGAGAACTGATCTGACCACCTGTGGGGGCTGAGGGCTTGGGGCAGGAGGCAAAGGAGAGGACGGGAGAAGGAGCTCCGGCGCCCTGCCCCCTCTCCGCAGGAGCAAGCAATAGGTCTGATGTCTGAGCTGCCCTCCCACTACTCCCGGACCCCTTTCTGGCCTCCTGGAGGCCCCAGCTTGCCAGGGGTCAGTCCACAATTGCTCCGCAAAGACCAGCAGGAGTCTGTTTTCTTAGCCAGAGTGGTCTCTGCCCTAACCTATGCCTTGGGTTTTGGGGCTGCAGAACCCAGCGATGGTGAAGGAGCCAGGGCTGTGTCTGCCCCCCATCAGCCCCGTTTGACCTCTGAAGATCTCTTCGGGTGGCGCCCGTCTCCCCGACACTGTGAAGGTGCGTAGATGGGGCAGTGCTCGGGTCTTCCCCGCCCTGTAGCCCTTGGGCTATTTCCGGCAGGGGGAGCGCCGAAAGGAGAGGGCGTGGTGCTCGCCCTCGGGATTTATGAGAACCAGACGTCGACTTCCCCTGTTGCGACATCTGGGCCTCCTCGAGGCTCCCTTTGTTCCCGCGGCGTAAGGTCCAGGACAGCGGCGGCCTCCGCCTGGCGCCCATCCCAAAGGGGCGCCCACGCCCCCATACACCCCACTATTCGGGCCACCCACCCGGCCCCCACCCACCGCGCTCCCGGGGCACGCTTCCGCGCAGGGGGGATGACTCTCGCCCCAAAGGGGGCGGCTGCAGGCCAGCTCCTAACCCCCTGAGCCCCAGGGCTCGGCCGCCGCAGCCGCAGCCCCAAGGAAGCTAGCTAGCACCAGCCGCGGGCGCGGTTCAGGCTCGGCGG